ACATTTAAGCTTAGTTCATTTTGAAAGTAAAAACATTTAGGCTTAGTTCATAATTCTACCCAACACTAAAAATTTATTATTTTGAAAATAAATCTTGCTTATCATGCAGAGACCCTTGCACAGTTCTAGGCCGCAATTTACTTTGTTTTTCTCGAATTCGTCACAATTTTTTAAGAATGTAAAAAAACATGTAGAATGTAAAACGTTTTAAGACGCAAAATAATATGAAAAATTTTTTTCTTTTCCAAACGTATATTTGCAAGTATTTATTTGATTAAATGAAAAAAAAATACAAACATACATTCTATAGCTATTACAGCTATTTATTATGTTCAGTTATTTATAACGCTTGTTTTTTAATTTCTCTTCCTGAAAAAAATCTTTTTCAGAATGTTTAAAAGAAAATTTTTTACATCATCTTGAACAGTTTTATTTTTTTAAAAAAATCAAAGAAATCGTACGAGTAGTTCCTGATTTATAAAACTTTTAAAAAGTCGCATTTTAGATGCTTTAATTCTCTGAACATCCGAACAATTTTATCAAAACATTAATTGCACTTCAAATTTTTCGATGAATATGAAATTAACTAATAACGAAATAAATGACTAACCACCTTTGAACAATTTTTTTCCCGATAATATTTAAAATGTAAAGCTATTTTTCTTCCTTTACAAAATAAAAATTTTTTAAAAAAAGGAAAAGATTATTCCGTTCCCGTTTTTCAAAACGCAAGCTTATCATCCATTATCAATCCTGAAAAATATGTTTTTTTCATTTGCATTTTTACTACATCTTTCGAAAATGAAATGTTAAAGTAAATAAAATCTTATAAATGAAAAACATTTTTCGTGCTTTAGTGTTGCATTTCCTAATTATGTACCATTCATTTCAATTTTGTTCCTTTGGAAAGTACACTTTTAGGCGTTAATGTGACTCATTTGTCGAAAATTGTAATTTAAATCGTTTGGCAGCACTTCTGCGTTAGTCAACTATTGAATTGCAGTTTAGCCGAATACTGTTCCGAAGTTATTATCATTATTCGAATGAGAGTCATTTAAAATCGGTTCTTGAAATCTAAATTCTTGCAAGTCAGGATGAAATTTAAATGTTTTATGTCCCTAGTTAAAATGCAAGAGAATAAAAGCCTTATATTTGCTCTAATGTGACTTCCTTAATTTTCCTTTAGAGTAAATTGATGTTAAACTTGCATTTTCCCCTTTATTTATAGAATCATCAGTAATAGTATTCTACCTTAATTTTCGTTTTTCTTTTATATCAATATCATTTTAGTTTGTTTTGTCAATAGTTTGCACACCGTTTGCTTTTGGCGTAAAAGTTTTTTAAAGTTTACATAGTACAGTGAGCAGAAGCAGAAAGCACCCTGAATAGCTTTTGATATAATGATCAGATATATATTTTACCTTATCAGCAATAATATTTTAACTCAAATTTTGTTATTCTTTTGTATCAATATCATTTCAGTTTGTCTTTGTCAATAGTTTGTACACCTTTTGGTTTTAGGCGTAAAAAATATTAAGTTTTCACAGCGGAAAAAAAAAAACCTGAATAACTTTTGAAATGATGATCAGATTTATATTTTACCTTATCAGCAAGTTTGTTTTTGGGGGTAAAAAATATTTTCAGTTTACGTAGTACAGTACGAAAGAAAAACCTTTAATAACTTTTGATATAATGATCAGATTTTTACGAACTACGACTTATGACTTCAAATTTGGATGAAATCGGTCGAATGGTTACTGAAAAATTGAATTTTAAAAACCTAACTTACTATATCTGACTTTTTTTAAATATCTTAATTATAATTATCGATTTCTCAGGAGTTATTGGACCAATTTTATTCTAATTTTGTATTTTACTTTATGTAGTTGCATTCCTTAAAATGATGTAATAATTTCAAGTAAAATTTTTTAAATACAATTCAAAACTTTTTCGACTGTTATTAATCAAATTATTAATCAAATTCATTTTTTGCGAGGAAAACTATGCTCGTTTACCTTCCAACAGTTCCGAAAATGACTAGCAATTTGAAAAATCGATAGAAATGAAAGGAGTGTTATCGAAATGCACGGTTTTTCGCATTTTGCTTAGGAAAATATATACTAATTTTATTTCTGACTAAATTTCAAAATTAGTTGCAAAGTAAGTCAACAGATGGCAGCTCAAAAATATTCTCTTAAAAGAACCACCCTTTGTTGCGGTAACAACGTGTCACAATCTTTAGACGTATATAAATGCGTTCGTGTAAAAGTTGTAGTCAAAATGGTCTGCAGCCAAAAATAAATAAATAAATAAAATCGTTTTTAAGTGTTTCAGTGAGCAACGCCATCTGTTGCAGAAATCAATTTTTTAATGTTTAGCTTGCTGAAAATAAATTAGTTGGTTTCAAAAGTGGAACGCTGAAAACCTCACATTTTTATCTGCTGTAAATTTTTTTTATTTTTAAACAATTTATTTGTAAGAGCATTGGCTGTTTCTATTAAACCCGATAAATTTTGCAAAGGCACCAAAATTCAAAAGAAAGCATACACTTGAGGAAAAAAATTTTTATAGTTAGTTCTGAACTACTAAAACTACACACTCCAAACTTAGTTAGCCTTGTCCATATAGTTCTTTAGTAATCGGATACTGTAGGTGTCCCGTTATTCTATAGCAATACAGAACCACCATTTTTTTTAACTGTAACCATCTCAAAAACCCATTTGACTTCTCGCATTTTAAACATCCAAACAAGAATATATAAAAGAAAGTTCTAAGCGCACCAAATCACCCAACCATTAAGTGACATTTTCATACACTCCAAAATCGTTGATGCATTCCACTTCACACTTTTTTTCTTCCAATTTTCGCCAAAAGTTGCCAACGTAATTCGATCTCGACAACAGTTCGGAAAACAACATTTTCCAAAAAGCATCAGAATAGCTAGATTTTTCCTGTGGTTGTTTTTATTGTTACTCCTTTCGGCGAGAAATAAGAGAGAGAGAGAGGAAAAAAAAAGTTCTTTTTCGGTCTTAGTGGAATCATAAATTGTAATTCACTTTTTGTGTACTGTGTTCGCACCCCCTGCACAATCCATATTCATTTCCATTACGTTGGCGTACATTGAATTTTTTTTCTTTCCTGGAAACAAACTTTTAAAAGCAATGCTAGGTTACGTGTCATTCTCAAAGCACCTCTACTCGAATTTCAATTTTCCTCCACTTTTTGCATTTTGAGAAACTCTTGAAATAAGAGTCGAAGTATTGGCAACACCAAAAAAAAATGCAGAAACGTTTCAATTTATGATTTCGATGAAGAATAATGCTAGAAATTCGTTTTTTAATATTTTTTTTAGTTTATTTCGATTTTTAAAGATTGGCGATATGTTTTATTCCGCCATTCTTCTCTCGTTACTGCGCTTAAAAAACTTTATTAACTGTAAAGTATCCGACTAGTTTCGACAACTGTTTTTTTTAAATATTAATATAAAATTTTAGAAAATTAGTTTATAAGTTTTATGATGCGTAAAAACTTATAAAACTAGCAAAAAAATATTAATTAATTTATTTTTTAATGGCTATTTTTTTGGGTAAAAATAAGGCAAATACACTAAACACTGTAAAAGAAATTCTATCACCCGAAACAAAAAATCCTTTGAGGATTTTATTTAGAAGGCTATCAACTATGCTTTGAACTATTATCTTAAAAACAAGTGCATATACTACTGAGTTCGGGATGAATGTTGCTAAAAGAGAAAATTTTTAAAATTTCCTCACTTGCCTTTGCGAGAAAACATGCATAAAAAATTTAATTCTACTTTTTTTTCTTAGTCTGTAGCTCAAAGCATGTGTGCAATAATCATAAACATTCCTGAAAATTTTTAGACAATTATTTTAAAAAACAATATGAGATATCGTGTTTAAAGTGGTGTAATATGTTATTAAAACCAACCTGATTTTGCGATAAACGCATTTAAAAACTTAAAATCAATAGTCTATCCACTGTTATCACCTTGCATAAAAACTTCTATAATTTTATAAATAAATGGAGCACAAACAAAAGTAAAGTATTTTTAAAATGCTAAGACTACAAGAATTCTAAATTTATATTATACTCAATTTCAATTTCGAAAAGTTTTTTTTTATTACAAGTTTAACAGTTAATAATTCTCGAATTAATAATTGATTCGTAATTTTTTTTATTCCATTAAACTCTTTGCGTATTTTTCTACATGCTTTTTCTTCTACAGGAACATATATGATCACAAATAATTCTGTTTAACATTTAACCATAATATCTGTTTCTGAAACCATAATATGTGTAACTTAAATCGTAATACCTTAAAACTTTAAATTCAACACTCTATTAGGATGTAAATTGAACCTTGCGTTTATTCAATTTAAACCCTAGTATCATGAGATCAAATTTTAAAAAATACGGTAATACAGTTCAACTTAGCGCAATATAAAATTTGAAGAATTTTTTTGAACTATATTACGGGTTCACTATGCTTCAAAATTTCAAACAGCATGCTTCTATCTCATGTAATAAAATATGCAAAGGTATATTATACGCGTCTATTACGATTAACTAACGGCTATTGTAAATTAGGCAAATGATATGATATTAGAGTTAAGGTGAAATCGAGAAAATTATGATGACATAAATTGGAGCTGGATCTATAGTCCTGATTTCGATACGTAATTTAGCTGCTTAGATAAGTACTGCGTTATACTGAAATGGGCAGTATAAAGCAGTACTGTTTTGCATTTAATTCAGAGATGATAGTTCATTAAAAGGAACAATATTAGGTCGATACTAATACAACCACACCAGTTGTAAGTTAATGGATGCATAATTACTTCTTTTCACAATAAGAAATATTTAAAAAAATTTTTGAATTGCAAAATAGTGAAAACAGTTTTAATAATCTAGAGCACTTGAAATATTGTTTTTGTAGTTCAATTATTGTTATTAATGATTTTTTTCCTTCTTTTTTTCAGAGACTGGAATGGTTTTCTGTAAAAGAGGATATCGGCATGTGCATATTAAAAGGAAAATCAGTGGTAAGGAAAATCACATCTCTTTTTAATTTGCCGTATTTTTTTAATCTTAACACTTTTTCTCTCACTCATTCAATTAATCAGATTATCTTCATCCAGATTTTGTACGAGCATTTTTGTACAAAATTGAACCAGTTTATCATACCTCTCTTCCATAGTTAACAGATTTAGATTAAAGTTTCAAAATCTATTTTACTGTGATCCAAAACCGATGTTTAAACACTTGCAGGGTACTGACAAGTGCAGATTAAAAGGAAAATCAAAGGCTAGGAATAATATGTCCTTTTAATTTTTGTGCATAATTTATAGCATATTTTATATAAATTACGCATATTTTGGAATCTAAACACCCTCGTGGCAGAATTGCGGCGACACGGCGGCATTGTAGCAGAACGTTGCAGAATTTTTACAGGAAGATTTAGGTTTTCCTTCCTGCATAATGTTTCGAAAAATGTTTTTTTTTCCCGCAGAATTTCTTTTCAAAGATCTTGATTTTTCTATTCTCATCTTTCTTTTCAAAGATCTTGATTTTTCTATTCTCATTTGCTAAAAATTTCAAATTAATTCTTCTTCTTTCTTCTTCTCTCTTCTTTCTTTTCAAAGATCTTGATTTTTCTATTCTCATTTGCTAAAAATTTCAAATTAATAACATAAAATAGCTCTACGATTTCCATCCTGTATTTAAGCAGGCTTTGAAAAAATCACTTTACTGTGTTCAGATGGAATAAAAGTTTTGTTAGAAACAGTTTGTAAAGTGCAAAACAGTCATCCGGAAAGCGTTCTGAATTCATTCGAAATCATAACAATTGCTATTCTAGACTTTTCCTTAACTCAAAACTCTCAACAGCATCGCAGAGACTATGTAATACTCAAGGCAAAACGAGTCTATTCTTTACTCAATTTTCGTTTAATCTAAGCGTTTACAAAACCTGATTTAAAAAATGTGGAGCTGGCAAGGAAACTGCTTAAAATTTCTTCACCTGTTAAGGCAAAAACTGTATCATTTCTTACAAAAACGAATTCCTTTAAAACAGTTGATACCGAGAAAAATTTAAACGGCAAAATAAAAAATAAATACCATTTGGTAAAAAAAAAAAAATTATTCTACGAACTGCTTGGGGAGGTGTTTTTAGTACCTTTCTCTTACTCGTATTCTAGATATTACTCTGATGTATTATGTATCGTTGTATACCGAGAGTATTTCATGGAAATAGAGATTTGATCGGTAAATAGAACTAGAGGATGGTTCGAACGTTAAAATGCGTTTTTGAACGTCCCTTCGCCCATCTTCCCCCGCTGTCTGTTTTTTGCTGTAAGTATGAGCGACGTTTTCTTTCTTTATTTCTTGCTTTTTCGTCTGGCGGAAAAAGAAAATCTAGTTTATTCTTTCTTCTAATGTTTTTCTTTTTCAGCTTCGTATTTATTGTTCTCTTCCATTGCTATGTAAATTCAGAATCGAGACGTTTTCCATTGTTCCCAAACGATGGATATGTCGATGCATTAAAATGACATCTACACAGGAAAACGAAATCTGTCTTCGATTGTAACGACTGTTTCGATTCATATCATTTTGTATCGTAATCGGAAATAACGTTCTTGTTTCTTTGTTTACTTTCTGATCAGTTCTGATGCTTACCTAAAATGCTTCAGCAAATAAAAGAAAAAATGTAGTAAAAATGGATAAAAAGCGATGCTAATAAATTTCAAAATTGAATGTAAATCTCTTGGATATCAGAATAGTTTATTGTCAAGACGTAACAAGTAAAATCAAGTTAGATTCCAGAAGTTGAAAGTGTTTAACTTTTTTAATTATTGAAATATTATTGTTGAAATTCTAATAGTTTAAACGTAAAAACGTTGGGAAAAAAGCCTCATACCCAACATATGCTGAAATAAAAACCTTTCTACACTGTAAAAAAACTTGGTAAATCTTTAACCAGAATATGGTGCAACATTTGCATTATCCCTAAGTTTGGTTAAACGAAAGATTATTTTATTTTAGGTACACCATAAATTGTGAAGTACGATCGAAAAAATACTTCCATGGTGCAAATGAATGCACCAAAATTTAGTAAAAGACACAAAGTTTTGACAGTGACTGTAAACTGAATGATATTTATGTACGACGCCATGTTGTTTTTATAGCTCGCTCTCGGTGTTTTGGAAAGACTAATGTAGGTTGTACCAATTTATTTTGGTTGGTAAATGTTTGATTTGCATTAATTAAAGTTTATTTTTTATGTTGTCTGTTTAATTTGGTTGGCGGTACAAAATGGTTAGAAGTATGTCATAAAATAACCTACTTACGGTTTATCAATCATTCTTCAGGCTGAGGACGATAAAGTGGACCACTGCATAAATGAGAGAGGTCCTTAAACAAATCAAAAAATATTTATCTTCAGAAATTGTTATCACATTAAATTTGAAATATGTAATATTCAGAGCTTCTGAAGAGAAGCGAAAAAAAAAAAAAACAACAGGATCAGGGATAACCTGGAAAATTATCAGGGAATTTTATTTCAACTCCGAAAATCAGGGAATGGTCAGGGAAAATTGCAATTTTTTACAAAAACCTGGAGAATTCTTATATCATAGCTGTCTTGGAATCAACCAGTCTTGGAATTGTCAGTAACACTAATCAGTTATTGAGATTTGAGTTGAATACTTCTACGATCTATTACTATTATTTTTTGTAAAAATTTCACAGTTTAGTCAGCTGACCTGTTCCCATCTTCATTCAATGATACTATTTTTTTTCTCACAAAATCTAATTTAAAATCAAAATTAATTGATAGATGAAAAAATGCATATAGATTAATTATGGTCTTGAGTTTTTTTAAATGTACCTAACATACCTGGAGAAGTCAGGAAATTTTTTTCTTGGGATCCCTAAAAAAACATCAGTCGTGAAGAAAGAAGCAAGAATATGGTGTCTATCCGAGGATCTAAACCCGCAAAGCTCGCGGTTAAAGTTAAAACCGGGTACAAGACGTGGAGTAAAATTAAAATAAAGAAAGGCAGTGATCGAAAAGTTATAAATAGAGCAACACCAACTGCAAACTTTTATTATTATTTTTTTTTAAAACTTCTGAACTAAAAAATTCCTTTGCCTTTGGTAGCTTATTTGTTTTAATAAATGAAATGCAATAGTTTTGTCAGGATTTGACCTTTGAAACGAAAAAAAGAAAAAAGGTTTTCATATAAATATATATTTCTAATAAAAGAAATGGGTGTTGATGTTGAAATATCTGGCGTCATATTTGGTGGTCATACGAATGTAGCCATAATATAATACAGTGCTATGTGGCAGAAACTTCCGAATTCCTTCTTCATTCGTCGCCAAAACTCAAAGAAAAGTTTTTTCCTCAAAAGAAAGTTTCCGAAAACTAAGAAATAGGGGAAGGTAAGAAAAATTGAGGAAAAGTAGAGGAATAAGCGAGGTAGGAAAAGAAAGGGCGCCAAGGGGGAAGGGAAGCTGAAAAGGAGAGAGGGAGTTAAAATGAAAAAAAAAATATATATCGAAAAAGAATGTGTTTCATAAAAATCGAACTTTGCTGAGTATCACAATAATGCTCAAAATGAAACAAAATAAAAATAAAATCATTTTTCCTTTAAGTCGTCGTCGGTTTTCCGAATTTGTCAACGTGTGCAATTGACGTAGGGACGAACCTATGTATCAATGCTGTATTGAAAACCAAAAAAGAAAACTGAAGGAAGAAAAAAAAGGGAAGAAAATAAATGGGATATGGGAAAGAAATCTTTTTTAATATATATTTGTTGGTGGGAAACATGAGGAGCTTCTTGAGTCTGTGAAAAATAACGTTCGTTGTCTGTTGTCCACCCCTATTCCCCTCTGCTGTCAGAATTTACAACTTATTTTTTATCATCTTTCAATCCAAAACTCAGGCCTTGGGGGTTAAATGGACATCAATTATATCCCATATCTATGAAAGAGAGATGAAAAATTGGTTGGGGTAAAGGAGGCTTTTGTTATTTGCTTGCCAGAGGGTAGTTTCACTTTTGATATCGTTTTGTTTTATAATAAACCCCCAATGATTTATTTTTAGTTTGGTGTATGGTACCAGCGTATTATTTCACTCAACTTTAACAAATGCCTAATTTTTAAAAAATTTTTGTTCGGACAAAAAGTTTTGTAAACTTATGATTGATGTGTTCTGACTGAATTAATTGACCTGGTAAAGTTTGGGTGTTTTTATAACGTTATTTCAATAAAAAATTAAATAGTAAATTAAAAAGTGTTTGAAATTGTGCTTTGTAGTTTTTTTTTACTGGAGTTAATAGTGCGTATTATAGTTACAAAATTTTTTTAAAATCTTCAGTCATTTTAACCTTGTTCATTTCTGTCTCAGCGATATGAACTTTTTTCAAAATTCATTCTGATACCTAAAAATATTCAAGTTTGAGTAAGCAATAAAAAGAATTTTGGGTTTTAAATGCTGTAAAATCTGGCTCCAAAGCTTGTGACACTATCAGCAAGAAGTTTAACGAACTAAAACGATAAAAAAAATTTTAAATCATTCCGCACTGTAAAAAAATTACGGATTGGATTAAATAGAAAGTAATGACACCCTGGGTGCNAAATTGCAATAAATTAATTAGCTTTCTGTAGTTAAAAATGGACTCATCTTTTATTCTGAATTATCTAGTTCTATAGTATTTTATCTCATTATTTAGAATCAATCATAAAAACCATGAACTTATTTTCACTACAAAACAAATTCAATGTTTAAACACACATATTGATTTCTACTTAATGTATTTTTTTTTAGTATCTGCAATTTCTCTCTCACCTTAAGTATTGCAATAAATTAGAATTAATTGCTCAAGAGCGAGCAGATAACGATACCTCTGGAAAGTTAAACTGAATTAATATTTTATGACTACCTCATAAGGAATAGAAAACCACTTAAAAGCCTTGCCTTTTTTTCTCTTTTTTTACATGTGTATTTTCTCAATAATCCAGAAGGTAAATTAATTTTTTG